CCCATGACAGGAGAGTTGGAATTAGATGATCTTTAATGCCCCCTCCAACCCGAGCCATTTTATGATTCTATGATTCACTGAATTAGCTGAGCAACATTCTTAAGCTAAACAAGCAACAGTGGTATTCCAGAATGTCCCAGCTACCAAACTGTCTCTAGTTACATCTCTGTTGTGGTGATTGCTCAGAATTCAAGCCTTCTATCAAATATTAACTCCATCATCCACAAGGTCCACATTTTGGGTTTCTCTATGGCTCAAATCTGGAACAAGTAAACCACTTCAGCAAGTGGGAAGCATGAGTCCAGAAGGACCACCTCGGGCTCAGAGTCTGCACGTTGGATTCAGTGAGCTCAAACTTCCATAAAGTAGTCATAAGTTACAGCTGAAGCAAAGCTGAGAGGGTCAACTTGGCTGAAAAAAAGCAGTCCGTGGTGCTGGACACTGAAGATGTCAAGCTCCTAAACTCCAGGAGCTTGTACCCTCTAACTACACAGAGAAGGCAGCAGACACACTGCTCAGACAGCACTGAACAGAAATGTCTTCAAGGGGCAACTAAATGATTTTGTAACAGTCATGATAGCATTTTCCAGTTTTGTTCCTGCTGTCCTGCTGGTAAGGAGTCTGTAGTTATTAAGCAGGCTAATTATAATATCTGAACAAGCTTTTTATTTCTCCCAATAAATCCAGACTAGAAGTTAAAAAAATCTAGTAGACTCAAACAGCCCTTTTTTGCAAGGTGACGTGAACAGTCTGCTGGCACACACACACATCTGATTGCCCTGGAGATCTGCTGCCATTTGTAAAGTTTAACACTGAATAAGGGTTATTATTCATTGAAAGAGGACCAAAATATACCAGCATTTCTATCAGCTTCACAGGACAATGGATCTGCAGAGCACAGGAAACTCATTAAATTTAAGGGAAAATATAAAAATAATAGGAAAACTCCTATATGTTCAACACATAAAAGCAGCAGGGAGAGGTTTCTCAAATTCTTCTTAGCAGCCCGCTGTCTGAAGGGTTTGTTACTAAAGGTCCTCTGTACCAGGAAGCGAAACTACTTCTTAACTCACTAAAAACATTTACCATTTAACTGAATAATTATCAAAAAGTAGTGAAGAAGTTATACTACAAATAACACCCAGACTGATAGCTGGATGCAAATACTATTGTTCATTTGCAAATCAAATACTTAAACAAACCCCTTAGTCTTCTTGCCTTGAGGACTCTTCAGAAGGATGCAGTCATACTTATAGTCATATAATTGCATAGGTCAATTGTATGAGTTTTCAATTATGTGTTTTTTTCAATCAAACAAAATATTAGTGTATTGGTAGAGACCTATCTCTATATAGCTGCTACATGCAGTGAGAAATACTCATCCTTGTGGTTTTGCTCTGTACTAGTTTCTATTAGAAATAGTTTTGGGTATAGATTAAGGTCCTTTCTGTGGCAGGAATGAGCAGATGTGTTCATTACCTCTTGTCAGGAGGGAATAAACATATTGCAATTTGTGCCTGTTTACATGTGCAGGCACCATGGTAATTTACAAGTCTCACAAACACAGCAGGGATTGCAAGCAACACCATTCTTGTCCAAAAATAGTCGGTAACTTGGTGAATAGACTCAACGCTGTTTATCTTCAGAAGGAACAAATATGCTTTACTTATGTACTGGGTCTGTCTGAGAGGTAATCAGACATGCAGATTGACAGTCAGATACAAGGAGCATTAGGTAGTGCTCTGACAGCTCTGTGGTCAGCAGAGCAGCCTCTCTGCTTCAAACAGAAGTTGACACAGTTGATATCAGTTTTATTTTACAATAAAGGTTCTCCATTTACAGTCTCTGAATTAGTTTATGTTCATATTAAGGTAAGCTGGAACTGGATAGATTTAGAGAACCAGTCCAAGAGAAGCAGGCAAGAGAGCTGAATTATCTGTTCTTTTTTTTCCTAATACTTTAAAGCAGCAGTTCTAAATTTTATTTAAACTTCAACTTGTCCCTAAGAATAATTCTACTTGCATGCTAATTTTTTGTCACTTGAAAGCCAGAAATACTGCAATAATCTGAAGAGTCCATTAAGTGAGGTCAGGAGGGACTTTTTTTTTTTTGTCTATACATAACATACATAGTTTCTAAATCAACGCTACTCCATCCTTTCTGAACTCAAGCTCTCTTGCTCTTTTTCAGACATTCTCAAGTCATAATAAATTACACACACACACACACACAAGATTTTTAAAGGAGCATCCCCTCTACTGCTGTATGCATTTCTTAATATTCAAACCTATTGTATCATGCCTATATTCTGTAGTGCCAGAACCCAGTGTTTCCATCATTAGATTATAAACTGCATGGGAAAAGGCCATGTTTTATCTTAAGACAGAATCTCTCTAGTGAAGTGCACCATCAAAATCTAAAGACAAACACCAATATTAAAGTAAATGCAAGGTTAGTATCATATCTTATGCAGTTAGTTAAATATTTTGGGGAGTTGCAACAAGACATTTCTGTTTGCTTTTCTTCTATTCTTCAAGTGTTAGGAAAGACTTCCTGAAAATAAAACACTGCTTTTCTTTAAAACAAAATAGTCACTACCCCGGCAAAGAGTGAATGATTTAATTTGCATACATTTTTTCATTACCAGAGTCCCCCATTATTTTCAAGCATCCTTGCAGTAAATACCGTGAAACCAGGTGAGTTCATTCGTTGTCTCTCCATCCATAGCTAACTGGCTCAAAAATACAGCCTCTTGCCAAGAATACCAGTAACCACAGATTTATTTAATGTCACTCCCCTGTGAAGATGGCCTTGCATCATCAAACTCCTACTGCATTTAGCTCCCACTTCATCTGAGGATGCATTTGGCCCGAGTCTCATCTTGAACAGCACTATTTTAGTTACTTCCTTTTAAAAGGGAGAAATTCCTTGGCAGACAAGGAGGAAAAGGCTCAAGGAAACAGTTCAGTCTAGAGGTGAGGATGAACCACACTGGATCAATATTGTACTTGGTGATTGTGGTGTGCAGACTTCTTTCTACTGATCTTCAAACAACTCTTGCAAATTTGTTAATGACACCCTATGAAAAACTCTATACAAAGTAACAGGGTTGTTAAATTTGTAAAGATGGGAGGTCAGGCATCAAAGTGTGGAACATCATGGAAGAACCTGACCAGAAGCAGGACAGCTTGAATTCTTGTAGCAATTACAAGAAAAGTAAAAGAGCAATGTCTAACTAAACATTGTATCTTTAGAAGACAAACACATTTTTCCTTTTGGTGTTACTGTTAACACCCTAGGTTAGTAGAAATAAACATTTCTTACTGCTCACTGAAGACTTTCTTCATGGTTGTATTTGCATTAGGTCAGGAGAAAACAAACAAACACACAAACAAAAACAAAGACAAAAACAAAAAACTCTGAACTTTCCTATTTGGCTTAACCTCACTGGCACAAATCAAAATTCTGATACCAAACTAAAACACTAACAGAAAGTGCTTTAGATACACAGAATAATAATACAGAAACATTAGAGGGCATTTCTTTAGTTCCTTTCAATAGAAACATTCTTTACTAATCTTGGGTTTAGAAAGTGCTTGAAGTTGGATATGAGAGAGGTTATTAGGGGTCTTCAGAAATTCGTGTTCTTTTGACAGCATCTGCACAATATTAAATCATGTGGAATATTGAAAGTGTTTATATTTAATTATATGTCATTTTGACAAAACCAGTTTCACTAGCCATTGACTTTAATTCCCTATTCTCATTGTCAAAAAGTACAACACACTGCAGTAAAATAGGCTTAGATATATAATATTTTTTTTTACATATCTGGAAAGAAAAATAGTAGACTCGTGAAGCAAACAGTCTCTTCTTGTCTAAGACCGCCTGCTGAACTGAGCAGATGGGTATAAATTTCCTGGAAAAAACATAACAAGAAGAAATATCTCCGTCGAGTTCAGAATGCCTTGCAGCGATGGCAAGGTATCTGTCTTTCCAGACACCGTGGTAATTCTCAGGGGCTCAGCTAGCAGTCTAAAATGGAAACACAATTAATACTATCCAGGCTCCTCATCACAGCTTGGAGAAACAAACTGTACAGATATTTTCTAATGACAACACTAATGACTGCATCACTGGACCTAGTGAAGGTCACCTCATTGTTTTTGAGCAAAGCTTTGACACATTTCTCACCTTCAGTAGCAACAGCTACTAATAAACCTTCCTTTATAGGCAGAAATGAAGTGCAGATGACACCACACATAGAGGATGAAGGAAATTTTGGGGTCACTCCTTGGGTGGGATCAGGGAATGGTATACAGGTGTCCCTTGGAGGATGGAGAAGGCAGGGAAGACCAGCCCGGAGGAAGGCCCGGGTGCATCTCCTGCTTTCCCCTCATGCCCGCCCGTGGAGGCAGTGGAGGCAGGAGAGGCGGCACCGCCGGCTCTTGCCGTGGGCAGCACTGCCGGGTCCCAGGGGAAGCTGGAGCGGAGCGCTCAGCCCGGTCGGCCGCGGGGCTGCGGGCAGGAGCGCGGCTCGCGGTCTGCGCTCTGCAAGGGCGGCAGAATACCGCCAGGACTCTGAAGTCTGCTCTGTTAGAACAGGGCCTGTTTTACTGTGAAGAAACATCTTTGGAAATGAAAATTCGATCGCACCCGCAAGAAACCGTGCATTGGCGGCGCCCGCGCCCCGGGGTAGACAGCGCCCCGGCGCTCCCGCCGCCGCCGCGCCCGGCGCCGCTGTCCGGCCCGGCGCCGCTCCTCCCGCTCGGAGGAGCCGCCTCCGCTCCCTCCCTCCCGTTCCTAGGAGCTGGCTCTCCCCCTGGAGGCCTCCGGCGGCATCGGCCGCGCTCCGCCGCTTATGTAACGCGGGGCCCGGCAGCGCCCGCGGCTCCGCGGGGCGGCCTGGCGCGGGCAGCGCCGCTCGAGTGCGGACACGGGGCTCAGCCCCGCCTCGCAGGGCACACCGAGCACTCCGGAAAGCACCCGCGCCAGCTCACACGTGTAGCTCCAGCGAACGGGAATAGCTGAGCCCTGTCCGTGTGATGGCTTCGCCGACGTGGGGAACTCTGCAAACAAGCCTCGGTGCACGGTCTTCCGCCCGTGGCTGAAGCCCAGCTGCCGGACACTGACGCCCTGGGTTGCGCCGGGACCAGCGCTTGAGGAGCTCCTGCATGTTCGTTCTGGAGGATCCTGCGAGAGACGAAGCAGTCCACGCAGCCTCCTGAAGTACGCGGGTGACTTCTGCGGGCCGTCTGTACCATCCCAGGGATCTGCTAGTGCCCTAACGCAGATAACGCAGAAACAGCACTGTACCCAGCCCTACCAGACTCCCCGGAGAGAACAGATCCTCCCAAGGAATGGGTTTTAGCACCACCTCCATGGATCTATCACAAGGACTCTGGGAAGACTGCTGAACCAAGGAATTGTGTAGGATGGTAGTCAGCTGGTAAAACTGAGATTGGGATCAAGCATTGTTTTCCCAGATGGGGTGGGGAGGCAGTGTACCGTGTAAGTACCCCAAAGCACTGCAGATTCAAATTTGTGCCTCGTGGCATAGCACAACTTCAGTCATAAGGGAGAAAGAGCCTGTCAGCCCCTTACTCCTCTCACCACGGCAATGGCAACTTACCCAGCCGTCTACATCCTATCCTCACGGCTTTGATCTCCGCTCGGCAGAGTAAGGAGGCTGGAGAGAAGCTGTGCTAGGAGCTGTGAGGGTATAACACGGGCTGCAGTGCTACGAGGCAGCCCACGCATCTTCGCGACGCCTGCGGCGCGCTGAGGCGCAGCCTGCGGCAGCTGCCTGCGCTCAGCAGCCCCGCACCGCCGGGCGCCTTCCTCCTCACCGGAGCGCGTGGATTAATTGCCCTCTTTGATGGCAATAACGATCGCTGCCGTGATTACGGTGCTGGAAACCAAACACCCTGCTGACAAGGTGCATGAAAAAAACCCAAATGCGAATCTTTGAAGTGCTGTGCTCAAAGCGATTTGTGTGGGGCTTTCTAGCTCTTCCTATAACCTAGAAAGTGGGGGGGGGGGGGAAGGGGCAAAGAATCATTACACCTCCGCTGTCCAGCCTCCAACACAGAAATCAACCTAACAGCCTGGCTTCCCTGACAAACTGTGAAGATTCAGATAATCCTGTCCAGTTTATTCTCCACCCAAGGGCAATTTGTTCCCTTTAAACCCCTAACAGCATGTTGCCAAAGCTGCCATCAGGAAAGTTGTGACATGAGCTGTGCAAATATTTACTCAGCCATTCCCACGCTGCTTCCCAAAGAGGTTATTGCTCCTCCCCCACTCCCCTCCCGGCACGAAGCACTTCCATCAGTCAATTTGGCGGCCGCTGGTAACATTAACGTTCAGGTTTTACAGCAGGCATTTGCTTCCAAAGCGTTTCCTTTAACAGGACGCCCCGGAGCCTGCACGCATGCTCTAGTCCGCCACCACCAAAATACCCCAAATCAGGCTCGTTGGTCGCGATGCAATAAAAACCTGTGCCACTCTGAAAGAAAAAAAAAAAAAAACCAACAAAATCCTCAGGCCCCAGCGAGGATCGAACTCGCGACCCCTGGTTTACAAGACCAGTGCTCTAACCACTGAGCTATGGAGCCGCCGCTGCATGGCTGTCCCGGCTCTGCCTAAGTCCGGTCCCGGCCCTCCCCGCCGCCCCCTGCCGGCCGCCTCGGGCCCCGCGCCGCCGGCCCCGCCCTCCGCTGGCCCCTGCGGCGCCCGCCCTGCACAGCGGCCCGGCCGCCGCCGCCGGGGGGAGCCCGCGGCCCGCCGGGAAATCCCGGAGCGCGCCGGGAGCCCGCCCGCCGCCCCGCTCGCGCGCTCTGCCCGCGGCGGCCGCCCGCTCCCTGCCCCGCTTCTCGCCCGCCAGCACCGGGGTGCCGCTCCCGGCGCTGCCCGGCGGCCGCCGCGGTTGCCGGGGAGGGCCCGGGCCGCGGGAGGTCCCTGGGCCCGCTGCAGTAGAGGAAATAAAGCTGCTGGAATGAGCGCGTCTGGCCGAGTCTGCAAAGGCACCGGAGGAGAAATATGGGGTGGGTGGGCGGATGTCTGGCATACAGCCTGATCTGTATTAGTAAAAAACCCTGTCGTAACAGAGGGTGGTTTTTTCTCTGCAGAGGTTGGGTGTTCTTAGGAAGTTTGAGCGTGGCTGCTGCGGGGCAGAGGTGCTACCCGGGGCCTCTGAGCATCACTTGTTGAATGACGCCTTGCAGCACTGAGCCTGGACCCTAGAGAGGATTTCTAGGTAATTCTCTCACCTGGTGCCTGCAGATCAATTTTAACAGAGGTTATGGAGCTCAGAAGCTTCAGCTCTCAGCTAAAAGGTGGAAGCAGCCATGCGTTTGGACCCGTCTAAGTGTACTGCTGGTGTCCAGTGCTGGTGCTGGGTGTTATCACTGCTAACAGCACACATTAGCGAGAGGTCTATGATCACTTGTGAATGACCTGAACATTTTTTTAAAACGTCATGGCAGATAAAATTATTGCAGCCATATACTTTTCAGAAGCTATATTCAGGGCCCTGTCTTCATTTTGTACTGACATCTCTTTATATAGAATTCAGACTTGGATCAGCGGATGCGAAAGGGATACAGTGGGGGAGCTTGTAAACCTGGCTTGGCTTAATAAAATCTTGAATCAAAGAATGTTGCACTATGGAAATAAACCTCAAAGTCCACAGCAGCATCAGGGTCTGCAGTATCCTGGGCATATGTGATTTCTGCCCCAAAATTTTTTTCCTTCAAATTATCTTCTCACATTAACCCCCTTGATAGTTTTTAATAAATGACATCAGTGAAATTTGAAATAAACACTGAAAAATTATTGCTGACTCATAAAACAATGCTCCATGCAGCAGCTGGATAGTAGATACAACAGAACAACAGGGGGCAGGTCCATTTTCTCCATTGAGTGACACTCATTACATGTATGTATATTTGAAGTTTTGTGAAAATATTCAGTGAAGATTAAATGTTTGAATCTACTAAGCACTTCATCTCAATTCTCTACTCTGGAAATAACAAAGTGTAAGTTGTATTTCTAGTCATCATGAAAAAGACATTAATGTTAAAATTACAAATTAATCATACATTATTTTTTGTGCTGTTTTCAGGACATGTCTCCTCTGAGACATGCTTGATACTAAGCCAGGTTCAGACTTCAGTCTTCAAAACTGTGATGACTGCCAGTTGCAGCTTTAAAGCTTTTCTAGATGGTGTATGTGTCCTATCTGCACATGTGTAATACAGTGGAAGTTTAAGAGCACTACATTGTAGCAAACTACAGATCTACAGATTATTTGCTATTAAGATAATATTGTCATGTTAGTTGTCACACCTTGGAAAACAGAAAAATGCCATTGTCTTGCAAAAGACCATGCATTTTTTCCTCCATGCTACCTGCTCAGCCTGAATTACTACATGCCTATCTATGAACTTGGAAAAATCAATGAGACTATAATGCAAGTGCATCAATGCACAGAAGTCCAGAATATATTTAAACATTAATTTTAAAAAGCCCCAAACACTCAAAAAGCCCCAAACCAAAAATTTAATTTATGAAAACTGTTCTCCTAAACACCTGTTGTGTTCTTCTGCTACCTCACATCATTGCTAAGGCAGAACAGCCAGAAAATATTTCAGAAAGGTTTTTTAAGTCCTGATGGGGATGGACCTTTCACCACTAGGGCAGGAGCTGCCAGACATTCCAGCTATAGTTCAAAGGGAGCCTCTTTGAACACGGACAATTGTACTGGGTTTATTATTTAAAACCCTTGCATCCTTAAGATACACAGGCCCCAAGAACTAATGGGCATTCCATTTATTCAATTAACCTGGGAAAAGGAGACTACTGTACACTGAAAAGAAAGCAATACGGAACACAGTTGCCTTAGGAGCTGAGGCTCAGAAAGACAGGACTGTACAGAACCTGTGAGAGAGCTGTCAGCACAGCTGAGGCAGTTGGCACTTACCTTCTCACTTCATCAGTGACTGACTCCTGGAGTCAAATATGTTCATCTTCCCTCAAACACCAAAAGAAAGGCTCCAGCTTTGATACTTGAGGAGAGTAAAACTGAAAGTGGCAGCATATACCAATGGGAGGACTAGAGTGATTTCTGTATTCTTCAGAGGGAGCATTAACAAAAAAAGCCCACAATTATAATCCAAAATAAATTCTTTCTCCTCTTATAATAATCTTAAATGACTGAATGTAAAGGTTTGAAATACTGGCCTTTTCTTTCTGTTATTGTTTTGTTCTAGGCTCATTTGCGTCAATGAAATAAGATTGACTGGTTTTCATTTGGTCTTGGAAGACAGGCACCAAAACCCCATAGGAGTAATACTGAATCTTGATTAAATAGTTATTTAGTCCAAAACAAGTGGCAACGTCGGAGGTGTCTGAATTCAAGATAAGAGAGTGGACTCAGTTCTCAAAGTGGAGGCAATTGTGCTTTAAAACTTTGATGCACTGGCACTTTGTTGCTGTGTTCATATCACTTTAGGGAATGTACAGATCATCTCTAAAAACCCTCCCAATTACTGTGGAAATAAGAATCAAGAAATAAACTAATAAATCATTTACATTCCTACCAGTACTCTTTTATTCTTCTACACTGCTATGTTTTATCTCTCCCACCCCATCTTTCAAATACATTTTCAGAGCCAAACCAATATCTGCTTGGCAGAATTTCTTTAAACACATATTCTGATTTAACCTCAGTATTACTAAGTAACTCATCTTTTTATAACTGAAGGCGATTCTTTGCATATGAAGTCTAAAAATGCTGTCTAACTTAAAGCTACCAGAATCTCTTATTGCAGTAATCACTCCCTCACTAAGTCTGTACATCAGTGCCTGAAGTGGGAAGCCCTCCCTTTCTTCAGTGCATTAGTATTGACAAAGCTAGTCCTTCAAATACATTTTTAATAACCTTTGATATGGCACAATATCACTGAAAGTTCACTGCATTTATTTTTGTCCGTTCAGAATGATGGGATTTTATATGAAAGGATTGAAAAGATTTTTCTGTTAGTGCTCTTCATTTAAAAGGCTCCAAAGCATTAATGCTGTGAATGTTAATATTTTGGCCTGATATATAATCTGCCTCTGCACATATTGCAGCTGGGCTAATGGGAGAAACCAGAAAAGTAGCTTTGTGGATCAGGAGCACAGCCAAGTTGCAGGGATCTCCTCTACGGCAAGTGATTTCCATTTCTTTTTTGATTTTTTTAATGTCACTGTACCAGAACAGTGGCACAGGCTGCCTTTCATGTTATCGGAGACATCAAAGGGAGGTACTGAGGACCTGTCTCTACTGTTTTCCACCTTTTTCAGGAACTGACACTCCCGACATGCTGCCAAAATAGCATCCCTGTGCACGAGCAGCATGCTAGCCCTTATCATGTCAGAGGTGCCAGTGTTCCAGCTCTTGGAAGCTTTGAGCCTAGGTCTAGTCACAGCTATCCACACGGCAGCCCTGGCTGTGTGCCGTGGAGCACGGGCTGCTCCTGTGCCTGAGCTCGCCGTGGCTTGGGCTGGGAGCCCAGCGCAGGGCCATGGGTGGGGCAGCAGTGACACTGCATTCTCCCGGCACCTTTCCCGCAGACAGTGAGGTACCAAAGCAGAAGGGTGCTGCTGGAGTCCTGCTGCAGATGTCTCACCAGCAAGTTTCCTGGCACAAATCTAAAGGGATGCGTTTACAGGATCAGCATGTGAGGCTCCAGAGATCTGCCCCAACCAGTTGCCT